TGTTAGAAGGTAAGGACTATAGTAATAGTATTCACTCTTTGTAATCACTAATTCATGGTAAAATGGGGAGAAAAAATGCTAGAGTAGTTATGTTTGCTTAGTGTTCGTCAACATTGAACACGTGCTAAACATCCCTTACTATGCTTACATAACATCAGGTTATATAAGAAAGACCTTATATAATAAGCCAGATTATATAGTCTTATGTTTACCACAAACAGAACTAAATTCTTCTCCTAAGGCTATGAAATGCCATTTTATGCCTCAAAGGAAGCAATTAATGAATAGGATAGAAATAAATTTTAATTTCTTTAGAATTCATAAGAAATTTTGATAATTTGTTTGATGTCCTCGGCCTACTTTGATAAGAAATACAGTCTGATTACGGCAACTCTAACCACATAAAAGACATATATTTCCTTCCTAAAAGAACATTTAAATTTTGTTCTAGTGTGTTTAGCATGGATATAAATGATCCTGTGCCTTAATTTAGGTACACTTTGTCTATATTTCAACTTTTTGCTTTGAGTTTATTTGGCTTGAACTTAACATTTGAAGACATTAAAGCAGTATGCATTTAGATTTTGTCTTTTACTATATGTACTTTTTCTGTGACATAAGTGTGGAACTTAAAAAGCTTGATAAAATCAGAGTGTTATCAACATGCACCTAGGTTATTCTTAGGGAGAGATCCTAAAAATAAGTTAGCTAAGTAAACTGTGGAATAGCACTCTGTCAATAATCAAATATACTGCTAATGAACCTGGGAATCTAACTGATGCAGACGGTAAGATAAGCCTGGTAGATTTCCCCAACAGAAGCCTGATAACAGACCCCAGCAGGGTCTGACCAAGTCAAAAGCCAGAAGCCCATGAAGAACAAGCATTCCTTGGATATCTTGCTTGAGACCCCCTCCCCTGTGGAAGCTGTTCTTCCCTCTCTAATAAATCACTGACTTCTTTCACACTACCGGAATCCTTGTTGTTCTTTATGGACACCTGTGGCAGCTAATTCCATTCTTCAGAAGCTGAGCTTCCCAGAACTCATTCAGGCAGGTTTGTCTACCTTCCCCAGTTTTATAACCATGTCTAATAATAATCCAAAATTGTGAATGTGAACTGTGACCATAACTAGGTCAGAGTCTGTCTCCACAAAAGGGTTAATAAGCTCTTGTTTTTATTTTGTAGTCATGTAGTATATTTTCTAGTCATGAAAAGCAAAAACTATGGTTGAATCTCATATAAACTTTTAATTCAACTAATAGAAATTGGGATTTCAGCATTGCAAAAAAAGAGAAAATATCAGGCAAACTAGGTGGAGTTAATCATCCTATCAATTGTCCTTGTCTCTTCTCCCTTCCTAAAAAATGAATATAGTGCCCAGAGGTAAAACTCTCACCTTAAAATGATAAGGATAAATGATTTTATAAAGTATAAATAAGGAAAACCTATGTCCCTAATGGCCTATCTAGCATTCAGCTTTGAACTATCACTTTAAAATCTCATTTTAGGCAGGAAAAAATCAACCTGGTATGTTGCAATTACTGGAGTAGCATTTCCTGTTAAGTGTAGTCAAATGTGTTCTGAACTTATGGATAAATCCAGTAGAATCAGAAAAGCTTCTTAGAAAAAATTGTGATTAAGCTGAATCTCAAATCAATGAATAAAAATTAACAAGGCAAAGAAAGGTTTTTTAGCCAGAGGTCAAGCCACGGTAGGCACTATGTGGAACAAATATAATGCCATTAGAAAACCCTCCATCTGTCCAGCATGAAGAAAATGACAAAGTGTACGACAACTACAGCCACTTGAAATTATGTGTGATGAAGTAGGGGGTGTGCATAATTCCCACAAGAAGAAAGCCAGAAAATATACAAGGCAGTCAGAGAAAAATGACTGATAAACACAGGGAAACAAATTATAGAAATGAAAGCTCACTCCTTCTCGGAAACAATAAAGACCAGAAAATAGTGGAACAAAATTATTAAAGTGCTGAAAAGAAAAACTTGCCAACCCTGAATTCTACATCAAGTGAAAATATCCTTCAAAAAATGAGGGGGAAATAGGGGCCTCCCTGGTGGTGCAAGGGGTTAAGACACAGCATTATGAAGCTGTCCACAGCCACTGCAACACGAGTTCGATCCCCAGCCAGGGTGGTGACGACCCAGATGGCACAGCAGACCTCTCCTGTCTCGCCCACCTCTCCTCAGCAGTGTATTTCAGTAGATCCGCCTGTTCTGTTCCCTACTCTGTCTCTGGTGAATCCTCTCACCCCCACACCCCTCTGTTCTTGTATGCATAAACAAATAAACCTTTAAAAAAAACTGAAGGGAAAATATAGACATTTCAAATAAGGGAAGATTGTCATACAACCATATTACAACAAATGCTCAAGGACATTCTCAGAACTTGATGGAACTTAAGAAATTAATAGAATTTCAAATGATAAATATATAAATATGAAAATTATTTCTATTAATTAAATGACTTTTTAAAAAATTATGTCATTATGTCATAAGGTTTAATGCAATAGGTGCAATAATGACTACAGTATAAAGGGTAGAGCGCTGCAACAAATGGGTCTATATAGGAACAAATATTTTATTAAATATTGTTAACTCAAAGCATATTGTGAAATGTTTGCTATGTATATTTGAAATATATCTAACATAACAACAGCCACATTAAAATGAATCTCTAAAAATATACAAGTAATCCAAAAGAAGATAATAAAAGAACAAGAAAGGGGAATCAAAACAGAGGGGAAAAAGCAAAAAAACAAGTGATAAAATATAAGATATAAATGTAATCATATCGGGGCCTCCCCGGTGGCGCAGTGGTTGAGCGCTGGGTTGCGAAGCTGCCCGCGGCCTCTGCGGTGCCGGTTCAATCCCCGGCTGCTCCCCGGCCACCGGAGGAGGGTCCCACATGGCGCGCAGACCTCTCCTGCCGCCCGCTGCTCCCCTCAGCAGTGTACCTTGGTCCTTCTGCCTGCTCTGCTCCCTGCTCTGGCTCTGGTGAATTCTCTCACCCTCCCGCGCTTCTGACTGTACCCAGTGCATGTACAAACAAATAAATAAAATGCCTCTATTAAAAAAAAAAAAAAAGAGTACTGTGCTAGGACTCAAAAGAATAATTTTTTAAAAAAAAAAAAAAATAATAAATTTAATCATATCAACAATTACAATAAATGTTAATGAACTATCTTAATGCATCAATTAAAAATTAGAGATAATCATAAAGTATTAACAATAAAGTCCAAAATACCTGCTCCACAAAAATGAATTTTATGTACACAGACACAAATAGGTTGAAAGTTAGCTAACAGTAAAGAGATACACTGCAAACAGTATGCATAAGAAAGCTGAAGAGCTTCTTAATAGAAAATAAAATAAAACTTCAAGGCAGAATACAAGCAGAGTTAAAAATGAACAGATCATAATGATATAAGTTGAACTCAAATAATAATCATAAATATTATACATGTAATCTAACTATTAAGAGGTTTTTTTTTTTTTTTGAAGATTTATTCATCTATCCATACAAGCACTGGGTATAGTCAGAAGCACGGGAGGGTGAGAGAACTCACAAGAGCCAGAGCGGAGAACAGAACAGGCAGAATGACGAAATACACCACTGAGGGAAGCAGCGGGCAGCAGAAGAGGTCTGCGCGCCATGTGGGACCCTCGCCTGGCAGCCAGGGATCGAAACAGCACTGCAGATGCTGCGGGCAGCTCTGCAGCCCAGCGCTCAATGGCTGCACCACCAGGGGAAGCCCTTAAGAGTTTTGAATATATGAAAACAACAAGCAGTTTTATTTTCATAACTAGAGAATGAATGACTCCTCTCTCAGACAAACTATATGAATGACACTCAACCATCTGGGCTTAAATAGTATCCTCAACAACTACAGAAATACATATTATTTTCAAGTGTATATGGTATTTTCACCTATGTACAAAATAAATCTTATAAAGTATAATTTCTGACCACAATGGAGTTAAAGAAAAAGGCAACAACAACTGCTACACCACATCTAATAATTGACTAAGGGAGACCAAGAGGAAGAGAAAAGACAAGTTACTGCAGGATGGACTGAAGAGAGAAATGTTGAAACATTTGTCCAGTGTTGTATAAAAAATATTTAATAAAATAATATAAAACAAATTATTATTACAAAATGCCCAAAGTCCAAGGTTTGGGCAATAATTAGAATGCAAAGAATATTTGTGAAAATCCACAAATTAAATGTGGAATAGAACCAAACTTAATCAGTACTTAGAGTAAAAATGTACATTTCTAAGAAAGGTCAACAGTGACCATCTCATTCAGAAGTCCTTCTACAGTGCCTATTTGAGAAAAAAAGAGATTCACAACTCTGGTTCCTGTTCGATTTGGGGAACCCAGAATGCATTGATTCAACTCTGTATTTTAATTTCCTGTTTATTCTTATCAACCTTGGCCATGAGGTCTCAGAAGGATTAATGAATTAATAATCTGAAACCATTTGAAGTTATTTGAGAAGATGGTGCTCTATTAGGTTTTATCTCCTGAGGGCAGAAAATAACTATTGGATGTTCCATGGTTGTACTATATGCTTTTCTTCTAGAGCAAAAGTTTGTGAAAATAACTCTTAACACATCACAATTTATTAAACTTGGTGGTACATAAAGCTATGTTATTCTGAGAAGTCTAAAAATACAGGGAAAGCCCAGGAATTTTGGATGCATAGACTTTGATTACCTCCTGGTACACAGACTGTGAGTGATACTTTCAGAGCTTGGCAAGTAATTCTCATGTCTAGAATGGGTTTTCCACTCCCTCAAGGACCATGACTAAAGCCTACAGAGAACTGAATCCTGATCCAACAACTAAAATAAATGATGTCATTGTAGAAGCACACAGGGTTATACATAAAAATAAAGCAAAATTTTCATTGCTTCCTTGGAAGAGTTACTTAATTAAAAAAAAAAAAGAATAAGAAGTTTGAAAATGTTTTTGTTTATTTAAAGTATAAGAGGCATGTGCATGAAATATAGTCATAAGACAGATTCAAGCAAGATATCTATGCATTGTCTAAATTGGTCTGTCTAAAAATCTATAGTCAGAATTATTTGAATAGATCAATATCTTTTATTCTGTTTCCCTAGGATTCTGTTCCTTGAATTTTTTGTAATTTTACAGTTCTTTTTGTGATTAGTTGAATGCTTTTTTCCACTAGTCTTTAAGTTATGACATGGATAGTCTGTTTTGTTAACAATTAAATATCTAGCACTTAGCATAATGACTGGCACAAGTGTGCATTCATTAAATATTTTTACTAGAAAATATTAATTATTAAGTTGTATTATTTTAGCCCATCTGTATCTCCTCATCCATATAACACATACAATAAAACACCATTATCAAATGTTAAAAAGATTAAATTGTATTATACACATTAATGTTCTCCATGAATAGCAAATTGCTTTGCAAATTACATACCATCATATTTTTATGATCCTTACTCCCCTTATCTCTCTGAATCTTTACCAAGAGTTCTTATCATTCTTTTCCTTCCTGTGCCTCCTCTCTACTTCCTATATCACGCTCTCTGTATCCTCATTATTTCCCTTTGAGTGCATTGCCTCATACTCAGCTCCTCCTTATTGAAATACATGGTGATGATGATGGTGACAATGATAATGATGTTGATGACAGCAATGACAATGACAATGACCCACTACCATCACAGTTAAGAATATAAGATTGTGTAGGATCTCATCAGAATAAAAAGGATAGAAGGCTCACATTCCCAAATCATCAGAATTGTATTTTTGTCTGGAGAAGTTTCTCTGCATCCTATGTTAGTTAATAATACACATTTTTCTCTTTTTGAAAAAAAATAAAGGAAAATTGTAATACTGACCTTCCACCATTTCAGCATCAAAAACTAGACTATTTTATAGCCATGTCTTTTTTCCTCTCCACCATGTGGACTGTGTAAGACTTGAGTTTAATCCAGTTAAGGACCATTTTACTCAAATGCAAAACTTAAGTTCTAGGGTGTCTTTGGGTTCAGCGTTTTGGCTTTTTCCTCACTACTCATATATATACAGCTATTTGGATGGTGAAGCGGACTCTTATTGTTCCAATACACAAACTGTATCCATTGGCTTACTGCCATTTTAGTAGAATTTAAATCAGGAGCAAATATAGATTACTGACTTGTAGAGGCCGAGACTACTGGTTGTTTTACTCAGTGTACACCATATTATCTATTGCTACCTAACAAACTGCTCAAATTAGTGCCTTAGAGCAGCAACCATCACATTCACTCAAGGATTCAGATACAGTTCAGCTGAGTAATTTTTCTTCTCCATGTGGCGTCAACCAGGATCACTGTCATTGCTGTATTCAGCTGATGGGTCTATTGGAAGCTGGGTTCAATTGTACTGCTGGAACAGCTGGGGTTTGAATGTACAAGAGAGCTTCACTCTGTTGGGATGACTGGAACAGTTAGGGCTGGAAGGTTGTATCTCTTTCTATGCTCTTCCCAAAGTAGCTGGATCACTTTACATGGTGGTTCAGGGCTCTGAGGAGGAAGCAGACACTGTTAAAGTCTAGCATCAGAAGTTTCACCATACTTTGTATGCCAAAGTAAGTCACAGGGAGAGCGCAGATTCTAGCAGCAGAGAAAGAGATTTTACTTCTTGAATGGTAAATGGCAAGGCTTCCTTGCAAGAGAGTATGTGGAATGAAACATAAAGTGATCATCTTTGGAAATAAAAACTACATACTCAGGTACATTTCCTACTGAGTAGTTTTCTCTGAATAACTTTGGGGTCAGCATCTTTAAGAAAAAAGGAATCTTAGAAGTTGCATAGTCTAACACATCAACCAATAAATAATCATATATATAACATGCATAAAGTAGTGACAGCTTGTTAGCCCACCATAACCCAGTGTCTTGCCCAAACTTAGTGACAGGTCAAAATGGCATTTCAAGCAGTTCATATTTGGACTACTCTAATTTCCTCTAGTTTTCTTAATCAGAATTAAGCAAGATCTACAAGTTGCATTTGACTGATTAGTCTCTCAGATATCTTTTAATAGAAATCGTTTTACCTATTGCTTGCCATTTATTTACTAAAAGAACTGGCTCATTTATCTTCAGAATTTCCCCTATTCTACACTTGTTTCCTTGGGAGATTGTTTAGACATCCCCCTATCCTCTGTATTTTCTGGAAAATGGTAATTGAGGTCAACATATTCAATTTTTTTGGCATGAATTTATTATAGTTGGTATACTTTTGATCAAATCATGTCAGGAAGTATAAAATGCCTGATTGTCTCTCTAACTATGTTCTTAAACTTATCAGTGGATTCAGGTGCTACAGGCTAATCTCCCCAGCATTAAGTTCCTCTCGTTTTAGTAGTCAAAATGTACTATTTCGTTAGGTATTACAAACTGATTATTTCCTGGTTCTGTCATTCTGAATTTATTAGCTGAAATTCCTCATTAGGAAAAAATTTTGCTCATCAACTATTTGGTTACACAGTTTGTGTAGCAAGAGAACAATAAATGCTTGATTTTTAAATTTCATTTTCCATCTCTTAGAATTAATAATTTGGTGCTCTAGCAACTTTTAAAGATGATCAATGAGTTCTGTTTTCAAACTCATATATTTTAATGTACTATTTCAATCCATTGGAATCATTAGTCTTTTGTTGCACAAACGTCCATTGTAGGTCTGTGATAGTCCTTAAAAGCTACCTCCAGATTCCTCCTGACACAGTGGTCTTTGATCACTTCCATATTTCCCAGCATAAGATGTTCCAAGCTAATCTAGTACATTTTTTGCCAGGATGTGGCATCAGTCTTTTCTCAAGGAAACTTGCTCCGTTTGGTGAAAAGCAAACTGAGAAATTTCAGTCTGGGTTCAGTTATTACTGTTTTTGTGTTGACATTACTTGAAATTTTTTTCAGTGGGTAGAGCTAGGAACTAAATATATCTATTTTCTAAAAGGAAAAATACATCATAAATTTTATACTGGTGTTAACAATTTAACTTTGAAATTGTAGGATTTTCCCTCAATTCATTTGATATCAATATTTGTATCTCATTTCACTTACTCTGAAATAATTATTCATAGACATTAACATAATTATTTATGGGTGACATAATAATTATATGAGCACCTAATATATGCATATAATTAGGAAATAGCAATATGATTAAGTATCTTTTATACTTTTTTTTTGCCTTCAGGATATATCTCCTAGAAATATACATTCAAATTACTGAGTTTTATAGATAATTGATTTCTTCTCTAACAAAGCTCCAACTTGACATAAAAATGTCTTATCTCATTTTCTAAGTTTTTTAAAGGAATTTCCTTGTTTTTCAGATTACTTTGACCTAGGTTAATTAACTATAACTTATTTATATGATTATCTTTTCAAAATAACTTGAGATATAATTTGCATAATGCAAAATTCACCACTTAAAAATGTACAATAAATTCCTTATGCTTTCACTGGTGTCCAACTACCATCACAATCTTTAAGATAATTTTTGTTCACCCAAAAAAGAAAGCCTTTAGCAGTCATTCCCCATTCCCAACCACCTCCATGCCTCTTCCCCCTAAGCCCTAGGCTTTTACTTTCAATCTCTATAGATTTGCCTATTCTGGTCATTTCATATAAATGGAATCATATAATAAATAGTTTTATATGACCAACTTCATTAAATTAGCATAATGTTTTCTAGTTTCATCCATGCTGTAGCTTTCTATCAACACTTCATTACTTTTCATTGATGAATAATACTCCATTATATGGAGTTTCTCTGTATCCATTCATCAACTGATGGACATTTTGGTTGCTTCTATTTTTTAGCCATTATGAATAATAGTACTACAAACATTTGTATACACATTTTGTGTGGACACATGCTTTCAGTTCACTTGGATATATATGGAAGAATGATATGTGTATCTTGTAAAGGCACAATTCTTTCTTATTAATAGAAATAGTAGTGATATTATCCTTTGCCATGTTATACACATTAAAGACTTATGTATCACTTTATGTAATCACTTTATGTATCACACATGTTCTATGTACCTGACAACTGCTGGTCATAATAATTTTTTATTGTATAATTTCAGCTTAAGGATGATATTAAGATTTAGTAAATAAAGTTTAGAAACAGCATTGTATTCTTTTTTTTACATGCTATATAATTTATTAACACCAACCCAACAGAGGTTGAGTACTAGCATGGTAATTGGTTGTGCACTGGGGTGTCTTGACAAATTATTGTGGGAAAGTTGTAAATGCTCTGTTTCCAGCAATTCATTCTCCTTCTTTTCTTTCACATACCATAATAAAAAAAAAAAAAAAAAACCTGGAACACTCAAGGTGACAGATGAAAAAAAGTGTCCTTAAAACTGTCTACAGATAAAACTCAGGCAGTTTGGCCCTTGTCCAGAGTTTCTTCATTCATTAAATGTAAATATCTCCATTCAGCTTTCTCCAGTGAGACTTAAATCTCTTTTGGTAATAGTGTCTTCTATGCCTGTTATCCTTAGGAGAAATAAATTTAATTTTTCTAGGTTGAGTTCCTATTTTCATTACACTATGTCTCTGTGTTCAAATCACTAAATCGAAGTCAGCTGATGGTGACCCAGCCCCGTTTGTTTCAAATTATGTTTGCCAAGTTTATTCATAAATCTTTCCAGGTATTCCAAGGTCTAACTTTTTTATGCTCATAAATTTGCTATAAATTGGAATGCTAATTTAAATTTAGCATCATTTTAGATTATATTTTCACTTATTCCATTTAGCATCATGTACTACAGGAGTTTGCACTAAACCAAGACATCATTAATAGTTCTGACAAAATCATTGTGTTTCATCAAATTGCTCCCTAGTTGACATTTCCTTGTTCACTAATGAAAAACAACAAAATTTTATGAAATAAAAATTGTTCTTACAATAAATTTTTTTCAGAGACCTGATCATTACTATTGTTTTCGTAATTACAAATGTAAATAAATGTTATGTCCTGTAACTGGGTTCCATTGAAAGAACCATTATTTATCTTCCACAAATAAGTTTTATGCAATTAAAAATTAATATTTGGCAAGTTCACTGTAAGCAAATTTATCAGCTTTTTGAGCTAAGTCAACATTCAATAAATGTGTATACTTGAAAAACACAACTTCATACATTTTGACATATGTTTATATACCCCAAGAAGCCATTAAAATACCCATCCCCAGCAGCTTCCTCATGCTTCTTGGACTTCCCCCTCTCCATATCTTTCCCTACTGTCCCACTGCTGCCTCATCCCTAAGATATCATTGATTTGCTTTGTCATGATAAGTTTGTTTATAATAGAAATGTATTACATAAATGAAAACACTAGGTGCTCTATTTTGTATCTTTTCCTTCACTCAGTATAATTATTTTGTGATTGACCCATGTTGTAATTTCCACTTCTTTTGTCCATTCACCTCATCATGAATATTGGGTTAGTTTCTGTTTGGGCAAACCCAAATAACACTTCAGGGAATATTTGTTACAAGTCTTTATATGATCTTTTAGTTGCTCTTAGGTAAACAGTAGTAGAGTGGATGAATCATTTGGTAGACGAATGACTTTTTTAAGAAACTGCCCAAATGTTTTTTGAAATGGTGGAACCATTTTACAAAGCCATCTCAGAATTCAGTATATTTGAATCAGTGTTTGAATTTCAGTCATTCCCATAGACATGTAGTGGTAATTCATTGTGTGAATTTGCATTTTCCTAGTAATTCATGATGTTGACCATCTTTTCAAGTGCTTATTTACCATCTGTATATTATTGAGTTGTTGGCTTTTTCATTAGTGGGTTTGGGGAGTTATTTTTATATTCTAGATAAAAGTCTTTTATCAGACTTAGACAATTCAAATATTTCCCCCAGTCTAGGGCTTTCCTTTTAATTTACCTAAAAGTATTCTTTGAGGAGTGTAAGCTTATCATTCTCATGAAGCCTAATTTTTATGAATTTTGCTTTTGGAGTCATGTTGCAGAAATATTTGCCTAAGATCATACAAATTTCCTCTGAGGTTTTTAAGATTAATTTATTTATGCATAGAAAAACTGTAGGTCAGAGGTGAAGGGGGGGGTGAGAGGATTCACCAGAGACAGAGTGAGGAGCAGAACAGGTGGATCTACTGAAATACCCTGCTAAGGGGAGCAGCAGGTGAGACATGAGAGGTCTACTGTGCCATATGTTGGTTACCTTCCTGGCTCGGGTCGAACTCAGGTCCTACTGGTGATAGCATGATAGTGCTGAGACTTAAACCCTACCACCAACTAGGACCTGTTTTCTTCTAAAAATTTAAGTTTTACATTTAAATTTGTGATGTATGTTGAGTTAACTATTCTGTATAGTACAACATATGGACTAAAGCTCCCCTCCCTTTTTAGTTACATCCAAACTTTTAATTGTTCCAGCATATTCTGTAAAAGCCTGTTCTTTATCCAATGAATTGTTTGAACCATCATCAAAAATCAGCTTCCCAAATATATATGGACTGTTCAACAAATATGAGAGTTAATTTCCATTCCATTTTTTAGTTCAAAATTTTCTGATTTCCCACCAATCCTCTTTTTCTTAGGTAAACATGCCAGTTATCTCAATTACTATTCCTACCGTGATACAATGATGGCTAGTTTTCCTGGTTAGGAGGGAAGTGAATTAGAAGAAATCTCTTTACGATAAACTGTAATTCTATTCCCTTTTGGTATTATTTTATTATTTGTCTTTATAAATGTAACAATTTGGTGATTGCATAAGATTATAACAAAGGCACTAGATCATCACTCAATGTCAATTAAATTCATACTGAGGTAATCTGGACTATACAGCAGGAAGGCATACATGTCACAAATCTATTTATGTCTGCTGTGCCGGGCCAGTCATGCAGATGAGTTCTCCCTTATCAGAATAAGACAAAAACTTGCATAGAATTGAGTCTGCAGACAAAGAAATAGAAAGGCACAAATAAAGAAAGACAAAGACAATCAAAAGTAGGGTAGTAGCATTGTGCTTATGCCTTGAGTATGTGTTCCTATAGTGTGTCTATCCCTAGGAGAATCAGCAATCCCTGTAACAATGAAAAGATCATGGGACTACTGTAAGATACCACTCAGAATGTTCATGCACTTATACAGACACTAGATTGACATTTTGAAACAAATATTGATTGATAAGGAAGGTGCTGAGTCACCTAAAACATAATTCTAATGATATTGAATTGATAGCTAACTTTTTTTTCAGGGGTTTTGCCATACTCCTACACTTTATTCATATTGAAATTGTTCTCCCTACACTTAAATACCAACTTGAAGAGGGATAAAGGAAGAATTAGAGAGCCTGACAGTTAAAACAGAATAAGTATTTTCTTTAATTCTGACTATATCCGCTATATCCGATTATATCTGATTATATCTGCTATTTTCTTTAATTCTTTAATTCTGATTATATCACCTCCACTTGGTGGAGGTGATATGACGCCATATAGATAACACAATTAAGCCTTATAAGTGTAGGCCTAAAGCACTTGACTGTTTTCATTTTAAACCTGTTTTTCTTTCTTTTTTTTTTTTTAGCATTTTCCAAGTTTTAATAAACTCGAAACTTTGAGAGCTCATTTGCCAAATTTAGGAAAAAACCCACAAAGCTGGTAAGAGTCCCCTCTTCCAATATTATTTGTGTATCTATAACCTACTATTAATGTAAAAACATTTCAATAATATAAGCTCTCAGATTAACAGTTTTCCCCATGACACAAGCCCAGTGGCACTAGTGTGCCGATGTCCTGGCTATGCAGGTCCTTACTCTAAGGTCATCCTTGGACTCCTCTGGAACTGTTCTTTCTCAAGAGGCTTTAAATAAATACAATAAATGCAACTTTATTTAACTACATCAACTGTGACCTTTATCAGATGGGCTATGAGGTTATGCAAGTTTTCCAAAAATGGATATTTTGTCAAAGTTCACAGTTTTAAAGGCAAAAGCAATTTATTCCCTTTTTAATCCCAGCTCAATCTGGCCTTTTCCATTCCTAGAACTGTTTTCTTCAGTTTCACCAGGATTCTCTATCCTACATCTTCTCAAAGAACCAACCTAACCATGCTACTCTTCATTTTTGCATATGTCTTCTTTTTTAGTTTCTGCTCTAATTGTTATTACTTTTATGTCCTCTCTATATACAACTTATTAAATTTCAATCTTTCTTCTACTCCAATGTTAGCAAAAGGATACAAATTTCTCCTTAGGAATTATCTTAGTTCCATCCCACAAGTTGGTTTGATAATGAAATCCTTATTATCATAGTTACATATGTTTTCTCATTCTTTTTGGTGAGTAACTTCAAATGTGTTTTAAGTCTCCCAAACTTATGGATTTTTCAAAGCTTTTGTTTTGTTATTGTCCTAACATTATACTGTAACACAATCACATTGTATTGATTAAGCTAATAAATTCAAGAGAAAAGCTCCCAGTTATTTAAAAAAGTCACCCCAAGCTTGGGAGAGGGATATGGGGCTGGCCTTCCCTGCCCATTGCCTTCTTGCAGTACTGCTGTCAAGGCCACGTGCTCCCAGTCCCTGCCAATCTTGTGCAGAGTGAACATTTCCATGATGCTCTGGGTAGGCAGCGGGGAGCAGAGCTAGTGATGCTTCATGTGATGACCTCACTCTCCATTCTCTGCCCCACTCAGGTACACAAACAGCTATAGAATCTTGGGCAGAAATATCAGCAAACCTCCCTCCCAAGTCATTCTGAGGGTCACCATCGTGTGGTCCTGAAACTTCCTTCAACTCTCCAGGTCTAAGGCTGTCCTGGGGCTTCTAAACCCAGGTTCTCCCTGAGGACTGCTCTTATGCACATGGAATAGCAGCCACATGATACTCCGACAGGGACAAGAAGCCAGCATGTGATCAGCCCATTTGGTACCGCTTACAAGTCCATGACACCATCAACAGTAAACACTCGAGACTCCAGGCCGGCGGCGTGAGATTGCGACCAAGCGAGAAGCTGCGGGTGTCGGGCATCGTGGGATGCGGCACAGGGAGGCAGTCACACCGCCGGCGAAGCGCCCCGGCGCCTCCACACAGGCCTAAACCTGTTTTACAATATTCAAGTTATGTTTGCTCCTTAGCACAAAAAGTTGAGAGTTGGTGTCAAGTTAAAAAATCTAGCATTGGGCCTCCCTGGTGGCGCAAGGGGTTAAGACACAACTTATGTTCCTCAGCCACCGCAGCATGAGTTCAATCCCCAGCCAGGAAAATACCCACAAGCGCAGCAGACCTCTCCTGACTGTGACCTCTCCTCTCCCACTGCTCCCCTCAGCAGTGTCTCCCACTCTGTCTCTGGTGAATCCTTTCACCCCCATACCTCTGGCCTGTACCCTGGTTCTTATATGCATAAATATTAAATCTTGCAAAAAATCTGGCATTACCATTATAAATCAGTAATGATAATGAGTTGGCCTTCTAGTTTTATATCTAAACTTGGGCAGGTAGTAGTAGTTATGTGATTGGAATAACAAGGTATAAAATTTGTGCTTAGTACAACTTAGTGAGCAAATGTCCATAATTTTCCTCCTATTGGAACACACTGCCTTAGGAAGCTATATACATTCAAGAAATACTAACATTTACTATCTCTAAATAAGAAGAAACTAAAGACAGATTACAGATATAGTCATTGGGTTTCTTAATAGCTTAAAACAAAAGTAAACAGTATTTTGCCACTGTCACTAGTATTCCACAAAACACCAAAATTCATTAAAACCACTAAATTATCCTGCTTTATATAGTTTTTCATGTAATTAAACTTTGGTTACATCTAAAATCTCAAGTCAAATTATTCTTACCCATAATTACTTCTAAGTCACTAGAATAGAGAAATATAAAAAAAATAGGGACAACTCCTTTGGGATCATATGTATTTAATTCTACAATAATTATTAAATAAAGACTCACAGTTCCTTAATTATATATTAAAATATTAGCACTATACACTTTAGTGCAAGTCAAATGTGTCTTTTTGGTTTTTGATTTCAAGAGGGTCATCCCAATCTGCGATCTCTTCTACATAGGTTGGGGTAAGGATGGGCCAGAAAACAGATGAGTTAAGAAGAAATGAGGTCAAATATCAAAAGCAAATGTTATGAACTAATATAAAGAACTAATAAAAAGTGAATTTTCAAAGAGCAGGAAAGGCATAAGTTTAGGGAAGTCAAAAGTGGAAGTTGATGAGTAGTTTGTCTAAATAAGAGGAAACAATTCTCAGTATTTGAGAAAATAAAATGCACAATTTAATGATCTGGGATCCCTGATATGACACATAAATCTACATTAAACAAAGTGAATCTCTAATAACTCTAACTACTTATAAATCACATTTTAAATATATTTCTGAAATCCTCCTAGTGATAGTACTAGGGAAGAAGATTAGCAGATAGGTCTGTTAAGGACTGCTAAAGGCTGTGAGCTAATTAATAAAGGTTTAAGGACCAGTGGGAGGGTAAAAGGAGATCTCTGATTTGCTGCATTAGTTAACTCATTTCTGTGGAAAAAAAATGTTTCCACCATGGCCAATTTGAAACTATCAACTTGACCTCACTAAAAACATTGTTTAGAAGAAATGTACAAAAACACTTTTAAAGTGATTTCTCCATATACATAAAATTGTTGTCAATAACCTCAAAAATACAGATAGTAATAAAATGCAGCAAAAGATTGTTTTGAGTATTTATAACCTTTGTTTATATAATTTATTTGAATGTTTATATAACTTAATTTTTAATAATGGCTGTGCTTAGCAGCTAGCATGTAAAAACACTGGAGATTTAATAATCAGCTCTTGCAAGCTGATATGAACAGATTATAACATCCCACTGCCATCAAAAACTGTTTAGATGACTTTTCAGGCCATAGTAAAAAAATAAAGCCCAATAAATTTTTCAGGCTTGATATCAAGTAACTAATTATAGGCAGGACATAGCTCCTAGTTATCTTACTCTCAATTCTAAAAGCAAATTCTATATCCTAATCAATCACTCAGAGTGTTTATTAATACTTTCTTCTGGCAAGGAAATTAAATGTAGGAGAAGTTGCTTGTTAGAAAACTCAACTGAAATAGCTCAGTGTTTAGAAAATTATATAATCACTGGAAAGGAATATAGATTCACTGTCACAGACTCAAAAACTAGCTGATAGCCAAGCATTAAGTCTAAACGAGAAGTGTAGCTCAGAATTGAAAGCTATGAATACTGGAGTTAAACAACCTGGTTTGATTCCTGGCTCTTGTACTCATAATTAGTGTAGGCTTGAGCTGCTTTGTGCCTGTGTACTCATTTATAAAATGTAAATCAAAATAATATCTAATAAATGTAAGTGCTGAGAACAGTCTCTGGCACATAGTATTTGTTAAATAATTAGTTATTGTTAAGAATAGAAAATATATTTTCTATTTTTTTCTATTTCTAATTTTCACTAATAGTTTAATCCTATTCAATAACTGATTATTTTATAGGAGTAATAAATGCCACTTTTAAACAACTACTTTAAATAAAAAGATTTATTTATTCATTTATTTATTTATTTTTGCATGGAAGAACTGGGGTGTAAGCCAGTGGCGCAGAGAGTGAGAGAATTCACCAGAGACAGAATGGGGAGCAGACAGGCAGATCTACTGAAATAAACTGCTGAGGGGAGCTGTGCACAACACAGGAGAGGTCTGCTGCACCATGTGGGTTAGCTCCCTGGCCAGGGATCAAACTCAGGAAGCTGTGGAGAGCCATTCAGGTGGCAGTGCTGACTCAACCCCTAGGCCACCAGGGAGGCCCCTTTAACAACTACTTTTGTGAGCCTTTTATGTATATGTGCATGTAAGCTCACATATATTTCTGTGTGGTTACTCATAATTTACAACCAAACTTAAGAAAAACACATTTTATCCCTTCATTTTATTGAGTATGAGATGTAAACTATTACCTAGTTTTTTAGTCTGTGACAGTGATTCTATATTCATTTTCTAGTGGTTATATAATTTCTAGTGTGTCATAGTTGACATAGCTAGAGGTAGAATTAACATTTAAACCCACACTCTGTGCCTGAAGAATGTACTTTTTTCATATTTAATGTGACCTCTCTATGATCTCACAAAATATGATGCTCTGATCACAACGTATTTCTTGAAGTATCCATTTCTGTGTCAATTTCTTCCAGCTCACCAGATCCAGTGTACTTGATCATCCCTATTGCAGAGTTTGAATCACACATTATAAATCACACTCACATGGTATTCTTGCTGAGTATATCTGCCTCTGTGTCCAAATTTCACTTTTATCAGGTATCAGTCATATTGGATTAGTATTCATTCTAATGACCTCATCTTAACTTGATTACATTTGAAAAAACTGTATTTTTAAATAAAGTCACATTCTGAGGTATTCAGAGCTATATGACTTCAACAAATGAAATATGGGGGATATATATACACAATGGAATACTATTCAGCAATCAAAAAAGATAAACTAATGCCATTCACAGCAACATGGATGGAGCTAAAAGGGATTATGCTCAGTGAAATAAGTCAGAAGGAAAAACAAAATATTGGATGGTTTCACTTATAGGAAGAATATAGGGGAACAAAATAAGACATTATGGAAAAAATAGTTAACAATAAAAAACATAACAAAACAAAACAAAAATAAACAGGCAACTATAAATCAGAGACATTCTGCAGGGGAGGGGAAGGAAGGGGGATCAAAACAAGGGGGAAGAGCACAAGGGACTATGGTAATGGTGCATGGGTGAACTGGTGGTGGAAATTCTATGGGGACTACACCTGAGAAAGGAAAGCAAACATTGAAAAAAAATGAAAAATTATATAAATTTTATATAAATAAAAAAAGAAATACGGAGGATAAGTCAAACCATAAATAGTACTCTACACTGATTTTCGGAAAATAAGAAATTTCTGCTTTATCTTTTTTTTTTCCCCAAAGGAGAACTCTTGTTTTTTTTTTTTTTTGTTTATTTATTTAGTTATTTATACAAGCACTGGGTATAGTCAGAAGCGTGGGAGGGTGAGAGAATTCACCAGAGCCAGAGCAGGGAGCAGAGCAGGCAGAAGGACCAAAGTACACTGCTAAGGGGAGCAGCGGGCGGCAGGAGAGGTCTGTGCGCCATGTGGGACCCTCCTCCAGTGGCCTGGGAGCAGCTGGGGATCGAACCGGTGCTGCAGAGGCTGTGGGCAGCTTCGCAACCCAGCGCCCAACCTCTGCGCCACCAGGGAGGCCCTCTGTTTTATCTTTTATGGTTTATCCATGCTTCATCTCTCAGCTTTGATTTTAAAATGCATAGGTTTTCAAAAGCAAAATTTTCAATATTTATTTATATTTGACCTCTTGCAAAGGGAACTTTCAGCAGTTAGAAAACAGCAAAATAAGGATAAACTAGATATATAAGATAATAAATGTGAAGATAGTATAAGTATAAAAATATAAACCTAGAAGACTTTTTTATTTTACATGTCATATGTCCTATACAGCAACTGCAGGAGGGTACAAGTATGAATTACAAGGATTTAATATTTTAAAGGACTTCCATTTATATGAAAATTACATTTACTGTAGAAATTTGGAAATCACAAAGAAAGCATTAACCATGCTTAATTCCACTATGAAAATGTGGGCATGTATCTTCCCAGGTTATAATAATATCAATAGGTAGTTTGTAATTTGGAAGTAAACAGTATGTACAAACTTGAATGCTATCTTTTTCACTTATTATATTTTGTGCATCATTCTGCAGCTTATTAATACCATAATTAATTTCATTTGAACTAATCTATCTTACATATGGTTGGCTAAGGGCATTATATTTTTTAAGAGATTGATAAAGATTATAAAATTAGGAACTAGATGCTAAAACTTACTTTCATCAAAACAGAATAGGGGCCTTCCAGGTGGCTCAAGGGGTTAAGCACCACACTATGAAGCAATCTGCAGCCTCTGCAGCATGAGTTCAAGCCCCGGCTAGCCAGAGAGCAACCCACATGGTGAAGCAGACCTCTCCTGTCTCGCCTGCTGCTCCCCTCAGGAATGTATTTCAGTCAGTCTGCCTGTTCTGTTCCCCATTCTGTCTCTGGTGAATCCTCTCACCCCCCACACCTCTGGCCTGTACCCCAGCTCTTGTATGCATAAATAAATAAATCTTTAAAAAAAAATAGGCAAGAACTATTTATAATTTAGCAAGACCCCACTTAAAAAATATAAATTACCAAAGGTATAGCTTTAGAAGAAATATCATACAATAAAAGGGCACTAGTAATGTTTAAAAGACCTGTACTCCATTTAATTAATTAATAGCTTTTTAGGACATAGATTGAGCAAGCTTACCCTGCATATATGTTCACTACTTTTTGACATACACTGTTTCATTCTACTGTTAAAACGTTTTTATATGAAAAGATATATCCTTTTATTACTGTAAAAAAGTATAAAAGGTCTATGATTTTACCCTGCTTATAAGCTAAGAAGCTAATCTATTACTGCTTAATGGATGCAGAAGATATGAGACTTCTGGACCTGAGACAAAAGACTTTCTTACTCATAACAAAGCAATATAGGTTCCTTTTGGTTTGCTTTGGTTGCCATGCCCTTCCAAATCCCACAGGGATAATATAAATGGCCCTAAATGGATGCCTTCAGAAGCAGTGTGTTACATCTAAGAATAAGAACACTGAATTTGGGGAAGTACTGCTTTTATAATAGTAGTTCTTTATCTCGGGAAAGACACCACCTTGCCCTCAAGATTGTTGCAAATACAATACTGAATAATTCCCTGGGAAATAACACAATACTGAATTATTGCCTGGAAAATTGCCTGGGTATTCTTGGTATACCAAATCAGAAAGTTCAGGGAACCTCTTGGTTGGTAGTAGATCGTACTTGCTCTTCTTGACCTTTCATTGACTACTATTCCATGCTTTACCAAAAATCCATCATTGTAGTGTAACAAATCACCATAAAGAAAATAAAACCCTACTTTCCAATAGCATTTGAATAAGTTGTTTTTAACTCTGCATTCTGCTTTTTGTGCCAAGGTTACAACCTTCATGCCTACATAAAAACCCATCTGTATTCTCTTTATTCTTCCAATTTCCCTCCCCAGACCTCCAAGTCACTAAAACTGTGTTCCAGGTTTCTTCTGGCTCTCTCAATCTCCTATATAAATCTGTTGCTGTGGGGAACAGTTGGTAAGCTTCATGCATTTTGGCAAGTTCACTGATGCATTTAAGGTGCTTTACTCCAGGAAGGGAGCACACATTTCAAACGACAATTTAATTTCAGGACTACCACTTCTCATTAAAGAGCTCCATGTTACTCTACTTTCTGCTTTCTCTAAGAAGTAATAACTTGATTCCAAATACCCATTATTGCCCACAGACCATTCTCCCTACCCTCCTTACCTTGGTCTATGATTGCAAGTTATCAGCTTTCTGATAACTTTTTAATCTTATCTAGAAACCTTTATCTTTTTTTTTAAGATAAAGGTTTCTTTTCATAGAAACCTTTATCTTAACATGTATCTGTGCAACCCGTATAGACAGACACCCCTCAATTTCATCAGTTTTTCCCTTAGCAGAAAAACTAGGTTGCATGAATATGTTAGCTAGGAAGGCAAACATAGCATTTCTATGCTAGCAATTTAAACAGATCCCCTAAATCTATACTTATGGGTCCCAAATTGAAATCAAATTTCTCCTTAGAAGCTGTTAAAGTATAAATTTGATGGGGCTGTTTTATAGAATTTAAAGGAATTCCTGCAAACATTACATAACCTTATTTGGCAACTCTGCCCCCTCCAAGATAATCTCTGTTTAAACATTAAAAAATAACTACCAGAATATCAATCTCATCCTCAATAAAGAAATGACTGTTGTATACTTACAATTTAATGAGTACCAAAATGTGCCAGGTGCTTAGTTTATCAAATTCTACTATAGACAGCTCTTACAATGTGTGTTATAAGTGAAAACTATACTTCTAAGTGTCTTTAAATATTAAAATGGTGGATCTGGGAGTCAGCCTTAGGCAATCAGATTGCAGATCTGTACACCTAATCACCAATTTTATACACACACACACACATATCATTCATATATATATATATATATATATATATATATATATATATAAACTGCCAGGCTCATAGTTATCTGCAATTTAAAATGAGAAAACTTAGGCAAAGAGAAGTTAAATATTTCGCCAGGCCATTCACCTATAAGTGGTGGATCTCAGATTTATTGAGATCTTTTCACAAAACACAATGCCTCCTTTATAAATTTTCCTTTCTAATTAAATCTTGTCTAATAGCATTATTCTCTCAGTTATTTATTTACAAAACAACCTTGCATAACAAACAAATTCTATACAAACTCACTGACTGCATTTAAAAATGTATTTATCTCACATATCTTTGTGGTTCTACTTACTCAGGCTGGGCTTGCTTGCGTGTCCGCACTCAGCTGTAGGTCAGCTACATAACTTTCTGATCCTGGATGGGCTCGTTCACATATCTTGGGATTGACTGGCTGTCAACAAATTTAATGTGGTATTAGCTGCAATGACAAAGGCCATTTGACTGTGCTAGCCTGGGTATGTTCAGATGGCAATGGCAGATTTTCAAAAAAAAAAAGTGGAAATGTGAAGATCTTTTTCAAACTTCCATTTGTGTTATATCTGCTAACATCACTCTAATCAAAACAAGTCACTTGGCTGTGTCTGAACAGTGAGTGGGAGGACACAACACATGGCATAGGGGGTAGAAAGGTGAGGAGTGAAGCACTGGAGCTATAACACAATCTACTGCAGTTGTTGTTGGGAATAAGTTATAGAATTACGCACTCAGTTGTGTGCATAAGAACAAACTACTAAATTTCAGGAATTTTGAGTCAGTGAAAAACCATTCATAGGTTGAAATTAGTCCATAGAGGTTTTGTACCACAAAAACTAGGCAACTACTACAAATCAGGGCTCTGTAAAGTCAGTTTACCAGTGTACCACTATACATCTTAAGACTTTCAGTTTCAACTTTCTCCTAAGTATAGAAAATTTCAGGTGATTATGTGATTGTTATATTTCTATTTTGCATCAAAGAAAATAATATGGGTATTATTACCAGGTTGCTGTTTTGTTTTCTTTTCCTAAATTACCGTCTACATGTGTAAATAGTCTAAAATTCTAAAAATAGATGGCTCATCATTTCATGACAGGTATAGTAAGACTAGTAATTAACACCATCAAAGAAATTACTTATGAATTTAAAGGTTCCAATTTGCTATTTTCAAGTATTTTAAGTCTCATTCATTCTGTGTTTTCAGCAATAATCCCCAGGTAGATAATAGGGGGGGGGGGGCGGGCGGGGGAAGGGATGAAGGGACAGCATCAGATGATAGAATGTATGAATTTTTGCCTGTAAACAGCTGAGGCTATAATTTTGGCTCACCTAAAATTATAGGTCATATGAGGCCTTCTATCATTCAAAGGATTTGGGCAAGAGATTATTTTTCATTAAAAATATTCTTTTTATTTCAAATACCAGTAAAACTGTTTTTCACAAACTCCTGTGACTTACAAAGCTGGGAAATACAGGAAATGGGAATCTTTCTATCCTTACAGCCATCACCCAATTCTCTGTTGTTGTCACCATCAACAACAATAAAGTTTACAATAGACCATAATTCAAGAAATTATATAACACTGGTGTTCCAAATAACTATCTATTGTTTTTCATTCCTCTGTGGGTAAGGAAAGTGATTCTTCTATCTCTGTGAGAATTTTAACTATGGTAGTAAAATGCAAAACTCTACAATTTCTTTCTTATGGAGAAGTAAAACACTGAATCTTATACATACATATATTCTATATTCTTTCCCTTTCTCTTATCACTTTCTCTTTATATGTATAATACATACATATACTTTTTTTTTTACTTTTGCAGAATAGAAAATGATTATGATTGAAACCAAAATGTGCCAGTTCAAATTCAAGTTCAGTGACTACAAAGTACTTAACAAAGTACTACAAAGTAATACCGAGTGCGGTATTTATTTTCCTCACCTGTAATATGGACATAAATAGTATCCAACCCAGAAGGTTGTTATAAATATTCAAAGAGCTAATACATGTAAAATACTTAGACCAATGCCTATAAATCCTCAAAAAGTGTTTCCTGTCATCATTCAGAAATCCAAAGTATTTTCAGTTAAGTAGGTTTTTAAAAATTAATCCGTTAACTCAATGTTTAATCATATTAGCTGCCATTATTATATATTGCCTTTTTTCTCAGTGACGTGTGTTATATCAATACAATTTAAGAATGTTTAGACACAGTCTGAGGTAGGCAACAGAAGCTCAAGGTAAAGAAAAGAACCTCCTATTTCAGTTTTAAGGCCACTGTGTGTTATTTACCCAGAAACATATGTCACAAAGACCTTATGAAAACATGATTTCTGTGTCACTTACAGTTCCATAGTACAGAAATTATAAACAAGATATGATAGAATTGACTGAGGTATACTTATCTTTTTTAGCTGTTATTTAACCAGGAAAAAAGTCAGAGAATGCTAAGAAATTTTTATTTTTGTTTTTGTCTTTTAATAAATACAACTTCACACTGAGGACAAAGAGAAAATGTACCTTGGTATCTTTTCATGATGTATGCCTAACAAAAGCCCAAAGGACATTACAGGAAAAGAGCCAACATTCCTTGTAATAACATAATTTATTATAGATGCTGACTTTACAACTTTATAATATACTATGATATAACTGATACAAAGACATATTTTGTAAGCGTGGAACTTGATTATATAGAACATATAACTGGAAATCTCACAGATATAAAGACATGTATATCTCAATGCAAAACCCACTGAGCTAAAAACTGGCAATTGAAAAATTGTATAGTGATTTTACTATACAGTGCTTATAGATAAGCCATGATAAGTAGAGAAACATGAAACTTGCTATTTATATGTATATTTATAGGAGATTAAAAAGCCTCAGACACTTTCAAATATAATATTCATATATTATAAGAAAATGATATTAGATGAATTGAATTAAAAAATTTAAGCTTATGATAGGTAATCACTCAAAATCAACCAGAGTTGAATCACTATTCAGGGGCCCAGAATTTCAAAGAATAGCACTGTCAACCAACTTTAGTGATCCTTGCCTTTAGATAAAATAAGAAAAGACATTAAACAATTTATAGTGGGGCCTCCCTGGTGGTGCAGCAGTGGAGCGCTGGGTTGAGAAGCTGCCCGCAGCCTCTGCAGCACCGGTTCGATCCCCAGCTGCTCCCGGGCCATGGGAGGAGGGTTCCACGTGGCGCGCAGACCTCTCCTGCCGCCCGCTGCTGCCCTCAGCAGTGTACTTCGGTCCCTCTGCCTGCTCTGCTCCCCGCTCTGGCTCTGGTGAATTCTCTCACCCTCCCACGCTTCTGACTGTACCCAGTGCTTGTATAAATAAATAAAGAAAGCTTTAAAAAAAAAAACAATTTACAGTGTACACAAATACTTTCATTATATCTAATGAAATTAAAATTGTTTATATAACTGGTCTCATTATTCAGCACTGTTAAATGCCCTCTGCACAGAGAATACTCATCTTCCTTAGTCATTAAAAAAAAAACAATTCCAAACAACAGATCAGCCATTTTACCCAATAATTCAACTCCTAGGCATCTAGGATGCCAATCAAATGGCAACATGCACTCCCATGTTTACTACATCAGCATTTACTATAACTAAGGGAATCAAGATGTGATATTATAGACAATGGAATATTATTAGTCAGTGATCAAAAAAGATAAACTCTGGCAATTTGTGGCAACATGAATGGAGCTGGATAGGATAATGCTAAGTCAAATGAGTCAGAAGGAGAAAGATAAATAGGAAGTGGTTTCACTAATATGTGAAATACAAAGAATAGTATTAAATATTAATATACTAAAAGATACAAAGTATATATAGTGGAATATAAAGAGTCAGATAAAGACTAGCTTAAAAACTAACCCTTGGGCCTCCCTGGTGACACAAAGGGTTGAGACGCAACCTATGAAGCTATCTGCAGCCACTGCAGCATGAGTTCAATCCCCAACCAGGGAGCAACACAAATGGTGCAGCAGACCTCCCCTGTCTTGCCCGCTGCTCCCCTCAGCAGTGTAGTTCTGTCAGTCTACCTGTACTGTTCTCCACTCCGTCTTTGGTAAATCTTCTCACCCCCCACACCTCTGGCCTGTACCCCAGTTCTTGTATGCATAAATAATAAATAAATCTTAAAAAGAAATAACACTTGATAGCGGACTACAGACCTAAACACCAGTGGGTGGGAGGGGTTAAGGGAGGGCTAAGAACAAAGAGAGAAGGAAACATAATGGACTATGGTGGAAGAATATGGGGGATTTGGATGTGGGTGCACTACGGTGGTAATAGTGGATGAGGATATCTGAATACTACCTCAATTTAAAAAAATTCCAAAGAACATATTATGTTGACACTGGTATGTTGACGCTGGGTGATTTGATCCAGCATTTTTTTCCTGATAAATCTACAGAAAAAAAGAAAAAAACTGTTTTTAGGAGTAAGATGAATGCTTTTGTGGATCCCTTTACAGATTAAAATGGTTGACTCAGCAGCACTCCAAGTACAATGTAGAGCTTAGAAAAGCAACCTGATGGCACTTAAGTTTACACTCAAGACAAGTGTTTTATTCACACAGATTTCCCTTAGCTAAAATTAATTTCTCTCTTCTTTGTGCTTGCACAGCACATGAGTTCTTCCTCTCCTGTAGTGTTTGTCACATTTTGCCTAATTCTGAGCACCACTGCTTGTTGTGAAAAGGAGAAATATCAATACCTACAAATATCTAGATAAACTTTTGAATGTTTTTCTATTTCTTCCCTCCTTCTCCATGTATTCTTCTCCTCTAAAATCAATACTCTAAAGCATATGCTGCTACCCAGAATACCAAGTATAGGTGGATTGGTACTACTACAAAATAAACAGCAATGAAAATGAAAGACAAGAGTGAGTTAGAATGAAGGCACAATATCTATTTTATGTTGTTTAAGTCTATACTCTGGTATGCCAAGAAACTATTAATGTCTTTCTTTCTGAACAAAAAATGTTTATAGTGTATATTGTATCATGAAAATCAGATTATTTGATGAGTTTGATGTGTCCTTTATGGCCAAAGGCTGTTATCTCCCTATGAATAAATTCAATCTCAGAATAAACTCTTTCACTTCTCTATCTTCTAGTACTTAGTGCCCTCAATATAGGAAGCATTAAAAACTTTTGTTAAAGTACTTTGATCAAACCAATTATGTTTACATTTATTAATTCTAGTCAGTCAGTCAATAATTTGGCAAACCTCCCCCATCTATTCTATACACATAGGCCACTACCATAATAAAGGAAAGAAAAATATCTTTAAATGACTGAGTTTCAGCTATCTTCTGTGTTTCCTGGGGAGTTGAGGCACAGAGAACAGATATAAATAGTTCAAGGAAACTGAAACCTTT